ACTATGATATTATGAACGATAGTATATTATACATAGTAAGTATATATATAGTTTTATATATATTTGAACTAGATAATTTAATATATAATGTATAGTATACGTATATTACATATATATAGATGAAAGAAAACGAGAATATATATAAAGGTATATATATATATAAGTGATATATATGTATAAAATAGTGACAAGAAAATATAATATACAATCCGTAATATATATAATATACATAATAAAATATGATTACGCGAGTATATATATATAGTATAAGATTATATAATGAGTATTAATATATAGTATATAATACACTTATACATATAAGAAGGTATTTATATTATATAAAGTGAGTTCATAGGTAGTAAGTATATATATGAGTAGCTACAAATATGTATAATACAAGATAAACATAGTATATATATAAATTGTATGCATACAGACATAGCGTACAAACAAAAACGATACAATATAAAGAGTTGTGATAGAATAGAGATATAATATATGAGTATATATAGGATATATAGAGTATAATACAATGATATATATATAAATAAATAGTATGTATATAAGATACTATATATATAGTATATATGAGATATATATATATATAAATATATATATAATATATATATAGATAACATACCACATGATGTATATATATATACATACATGAGTTTTATTTGTGTGGTGTGCGAATATATATATATAGAATAGTATAAAAGAATATATAGTATATATATAATAGATATAAGTATATATAATATAGATATAATATAAGTATACGAGTATTGTAGTGAGTGATAACATATATGAGTATAATATAATACTATATATGTATAATATATGAGATAAGTATAAGTACTAACATAGTATATATATATACAAGATAGGTATACATACATGAGTCAAGCCAATATAAATATAGTAGAACACATATTGTATGTAATACTATATATAGCTATATATATCATATATTAATATATATATGCGATATGTATAAATATAACGAATAGAGCGATAAATCACAATATATATAGGATACAGAGAAATAGTACTACATAAAACTGATGATACACATATACCACATATACATATATTACAACACGTATTATAAGATATATAAACAATAAGTATAAGACATATACATATTATATATACATTTGTAATTAATAATCTATATATATATTGTGTGCTGTGTGTTTGCATGTGCGAGATGCGCTGTGCGTGTGCTGATGCGTGTGCATTGCGTTTGTGTGATGTGCGTTGTGCGTGAGTCTGCGTGTGCTTGTGTGTGTGTGTGATGTGTGTGTGTAGTGTGTGTGTGCTGGTGTGTCAGAGAGAATGGGATGGTGTGAGTGGGTGTGTGTGTGTGGTGTGTGTGTGTGCATGGTGTGTGTGTGTTGTGGATGTGGTGTGAGCATATTTATTGAAGCGATGAGCATATATATAGGATATATGTAAGATAGTAGGATAGGATAGTGAAGTGAAGTGGGATATATATATATGAGAACATATTTTGTATAAATACAAATATGGATATGGAAGATAATACTATTGTATAATATACAATAAGTATAGATACTAGTAATATGGTATATATATATTATAAAAGATATGGTGTGATATTACAAAAAGCGAGTGAGAGAGTGATAGCGATTACAAACATACGATGCGAGATACAAACATGTCTAGAGTATAAGTATATGTAGATTATTAGAGAGAGAGTAATTAATAGATGATATGAGATATATGAGTATATATAAGTATGAGAATATATTGATAGATAGATGAATAGTGAAGTGAGTAATATATATAGGAGAAGCGATATATAGAATATGATATAATATTAATATATATATTATATATTAATATATATGTATACATATGATGATAGTACAACAGTGGAGAATAATGATAAGATAGGAGAGATGATGAATATGAGTGAGATATGAGATAGAGAGATAGATAGATAGAGAGAATATAAGTATATATAGGAAATGTAAGTGACGAGGAAAATGAGTAGTGACGGATAATATGATGAGTAAAAAAAATAAGATATTTTTTATTGCAGTCCAAATAAATTAATATATATATCATTATTCAATAGAGAGAGGAGATATGATATAAGGGATATGATATATACATTACTTAGGATAGTTGAGATAGAATACCAAGTAAGATATACATATATACATATATATATGAGTACATAAAATAAATACACATAAGAGAGAGAGAGATATCACTTCCAGAATACATAAAACTACATAGATAATATAAGATAAAAACAACATAATAAAAAAACTCCTTAATCTGAGCTTATATATAAAAACCCCCTAAATATATAATAATATATAATATATATTATACTATACATATATACATTTTACCATATATCATATATACATATATACATATATACTATATACATATATACATATATATATATATATATATATATATATATATATACATACATATATATATATATATATATATATAT